GCCTCCATTCACGATCTTCGCTTGCTGTTACAGCGGTTTGCTTTTGAGAAGTCGTTTAGCGAAGACACTGGTGGCGGGGGTCGAGACTCGAACATCAAATTTGTTCCCTACGCAATGCACATGATCCTCTATGTACTAAACACGTAAGGTTTAGAAATCTGTTCTCATCTATACAGGGTTAAGACATCTTAGGGACCGTGGACAATGTGTCTACTTTTCAAGGGTATTCGTTTTGACCGTAGAGTATTACCACGTGCACTACCTACTAGTTCATTCATTATCCGGGAGTTTAATGTGCATTCAATCCAAGTAAAATCGTCTAGCTCTCCTAAATGGTGGATTTGGCAGATCTTCATTGCGACAGCGACGGCAACGAGGACATAAAAAACCAGTAGGTTTAGGTTCGGAAAACAAGAATAATTAAACATTTCCTTGCCGCCGTTGTACGACTACGACGTGAAACTTCCTAATATCGCGTTTTATGGCCGAGGACGTGAACACAAGGCAAATACTTTACTTTTCTTCTTTCCGAACTTAGGTACAGTCCATTAGAGAACATTTCGCCAACATTTGACGAGTGGAATGAGGTGCAATAACAGTGATGAAGTGTGAAACATCGCGTTTTGACTTCTTAAGTGACGTTTTCGCAGTTGTCGCCTTCGCGGGTGTTTAAGCTCTCTGTTGGCTCGACTTTTGCTCCCTCAAAGTAAAATTTAGCTAGTGGTTGAGTGTTTCGCTGAAAAGTCGTTTCGTTTTGATGACATGGAAACGATAATAGGCGAGTGTAAATTTTTAACTGTTATGTCAAAGAACTGTGTCATCCTTCTTTGTAGAACGCGCCAGGTGAGTCGGGAAGAGAAAACCCTCAAGTCCTTCTTGGATATGTCTCCAGACAAATGGGTTGAAGCATCGTACGAGGTATGCTGAATCTTAAACGTTAACACTCTAAAGATGGATGATGTTATCTACTGGATAAATCGCTATCCACTGCAGAGTAACGCAATTGATTTCCCTAATGCTTATCCACTAGATGGTGATTTATCCGATGGAAAGCGCTATCCAACGTTTGAACAACAATGGCCAGACCCATTTCCTTTCAAAGATTTTCACTCTCGCTATGTACTTGTTAAACACCTATTCTTCAAAAATTTTTCTGTTCATTTTGTCGCACTGAAACCAAGCAATACTTGCCTGATCGTACAAAAAAATTTTCAACCCACTGACTTGATAACGGAGTGAATTGCTTTGTTGATTTTTTTGCAGGTTGACAGTCCATTATTCTTGACAGTTCTATCGCTGTTTGTTTACTCCTTGGAGCAATGGAATCAATCGAAGATCACTTACCTTAAAAGGCTTGTGGTCACTGCGCATGCTCGACATCTCTCACCAACAGGAACTTCCAAGTACGACTATCCTTAATTTAATTTTTAATCAGTGATCCCGTTTGACGAATACAGAGCGCAAGGAAACCTTCCACATGAACTGTAATGCTGATTAGTCATACTGTAAAAATAAGGACACTATAATATGAATTACTGTAACTGCGGCAAGTTAGGAAAGCTTATAAAAATATTATACGCCCTTGAAATGTTCAGTTATGTCTTTGGGAGCTTATTTTCTTTATTTTCTGGGGTTTCCTTTTCATGAAACTATGCACTTACAGCTAATGCTATTGCGTACCAGATAAGTAATAAACTAGACTTGCCACAAGTGGACCAATCGAATTTCACTTTCACAGCAGAGAGCGAGCGGAGCGAGCTTTTTGAGCCCTCTTCACGGCTGAGTGAGGCGACGAAGTGGCGGGGCCAAATTAAGTAGGACGAAGGACATTTTTGAAGGTCTAGTAATACACCATTCATTGGTCCTCTTTGTACACAGGATCTCGGATATGACCCCAGCTTTGTTCTCTGTTTACCGACCGTATATCATGTTCTTTGCGCTGATCGACAAGTTTCATCAGCTTTTGAAGGTAAGTGAGACTTGCTTTAGCTACATGTGCTAAATCCATAAATATAACGTTCTGTCAACGAGTGACAATCTCTTCCTGTACGTATAAGCGATTGCAACTCATTTTATTTGGGTGAACTGTTGGCACCTGTTCAACAAGGCGATCATGCAACTTGTTTGAAGGCTTGAAATCCACCCCCTGCGAATGCACATTGTATCTCTCGTTAGCGGATAGCTCTTCTTGACAAAGGCTCGTTTGAACTCTCTGCGTATGAGAAGTATTCCCCTGAAAACGGCCACCTTCGGTTGCGGAAACGATTTTTAGCTTTCCAAGAATATCGCTCAAGAGAACTTCGATTGTATCACTCAAAACTAAAGACAATACTATTGCCAAACCTTGGCACAATGACCACCAACCACTGGAACGGAGGTAAATGGCCGTTGAAGAAGAGTAGAAACCAAATCGGGTCGAAATAATGTGGCCGTTTAGTTGTTGAGAGAGAGAGGGCTATTATTAGAGGTTCGAGTGATCAGGATAGATGCTTGCAAATGCCTCATGTATTCGTTAGTTTAAGATACATTGCAACGTTTTTAGCGCTAATTATTAACTCCTCTTTTGTTCCACAGAAAAATCTGCCAGCGGATAACAGTGCCTGCCCGCAAGGTATGCTGGAGTACATCCGAAACAATGACGAGACGGTGTTGAAGGGTTGTGACAAGGTACGAATTGAAAGAAAATGAATGATCATACTCTTATTCTCTAAACCAGATGAACTCGTGTAGAGAGAGCGACTAGTAGGAAAGTTTTTTTTATTTTTTTTATTTTATTTTTTTTTTTTGCGCGTGGTACACAGTATCGCTTGTAAGAAGATGTTACTACTCAATTATAAACGTTTTCCTTTTACCACGGACTAGAGGGGACTGTATCAAAATTCAAGCCACCAAAGTTATTTTTTTGCTACGTCACCAAACACGAGTCCAGTGCTTTACTTCATCTGTGCATGAATGATTCACATGTATGAATAACTATACACCCAACAAATCATGCAAATGTTTCTGATTACAGCAAACTCTTATGTTTTGTTTTCTTCGACAGGTTCTGTCTTTTTACCAAGCAGATCTGTTGCCTTCAGAATCAGCCGCTGAGTTGTTTGATGTGGCAGGTTAGTGCTATGTGATTCTTGTTCTTGTTGAGCCTGCTATGTCCTTAGGGGCTATTCACATGATCCCTGAATGACTTTCATTCTGGAAGGAATTCATTCCATTCCATGTAGCGACATTAAGTTCCCGTTTAAGTCATTCCGGTTTTCAATCCGAATGAAATTCTCGTTCTGGTATGAAGTTTCATTCTGGTGTCCTGTAAACTGAAAACAAACTTCGTTCCGGTTTGAAAATCGCAAATCCGCGTACAGTTTGGCGCGAGTGGCGCATGCTTATTTGGTCTGCCGCGAAAACCACCTGGCCGAGAAGCCTTAAACTGAGCTAGTCGATCAGTTTATCATGTGAATGTAGACAGTAGTACGAACTTCATTCTGGAACGAAACTCATTCTGGTATTATATAAACAGCCCCTCTTAGTATAATTCATTAGAATTCGTCCAAAGAAGAAAGTTTGTCTTGGCCGAACATTGAAAACAAGAAATAACAAACCAAATTGAAAATGAGATAGTGTAGACAAATCCGTTCAAAAAACTATGCTATTATTTATAGCAAGGTGACGGTTGTTGTACTTTGGTATGTAGGTAAAACGATGAACCTTTATTTTTAAAAGTCTTGTACTTATAAACGCAGGCCAGAACATCGCTGTATGTAAACAGCATTTGCCCGCCATTAATGTGTTGGTTCTCTTCCGTGCACCTAATGGTTTTTCGCCGGGTAGTCTGGTTTTTCCTTCACCCTCTCTCTCTCTGTGTCAAATTCCAGTTCGATCTGCGACGCACGAACGCTTTGTAGGTGCTTCGTGGTAACGCAAGTAAAGTCATATTATATTAGAGTTCACCGGCGGGGTTTGAACACCCTGGGCGGTATCTTACTTGTAAAGCAATGGCGGTCTCTACATCACCACACTGGCATTGTAACCGTGAATGTCGCCCTCCCTCAGTGGGGATAGAGCGTCCACGAGACTCGGCCGATCATGTGTTGAAATCCTGTCATGAAATAATGAACATTACGCATTTCTCAGACTGTTTCTTACAGCGTCATTTCAAATACCTCCTACTAATGAGTCAATTATACTTAGGTATATTCTTAGGTAACACCATTTTTTTTCTTTTCAGGGTTGTTGTCTGATGTTCCAGATCCAGACAGTTTTATTTCCGAGACCCTGGCCTTACTTCCTAAGTGAAATATTGCTTCCACCAGAAAAACGCCTCTTGTTTTCACAAAGCCGTAAACTTATGGACGTTAAACCTAACAAATCTTGATAAAAACCGCCTGAAGAATGCCTCAGTATTTTTATTCATGCAAACATAACTTTAAACTGAACTGATGTAATGAAAGAGATCGCAATGAAATAGCTTGAAATAATGTGTTTCCCTGCTCTCTGGAATATGCTTTCCTTTGTTATTGTCCCCAGTTGACAGATCTCATTTGCTTGGGAGCTCAAGCAACGACGACGGCAAGGAAAACGTCAAAAAGGCCCTAGTGATTTAATAATCAAAACAACGACTTTGCAGTGCGTCACACTGTTTGGTACACTTCTTTGCCGTCACTGCGCGACTATGAAAATGGTACTAAATCACCTTAAAAGAGAGTTTATATCTCTTCATACAAGATAATGGGCTGACTTCGTTCTTTCGATCTATCAAGGAGAACTAACTTCTGCTGAATCCCAAACTCCTCCTATTTGAGAGCCGTAAGATGTCGGCAAAAGTTGGTTATTTCCCCCTGTCCCCTATGGATAAGCAGCTAGCTCCATCTCGCGCAGCAAAAAGACTGATGTATTTCTTAACAATACCTTGACAGTCAATCGGCATATACAAAGCGTCATCTTGTATGGCACGCTTTGGACAAATGAAGAGAGTGAAACATTGTTTTGATCGACAAACGTTAATTATAGATTAGTTTAGTAAGCCTTTTACTGTTCGTCTTTCCAGTGCGTGGTAGTCGTAAGGGGTGCAAAAGGTGATGAGCCTGTAAGATTGAGAAATCAAAGTCAAACACTTTTATCAATATGAATATCAGCAGCTGTTTTCTATCAGTGTTATTGTTTATCCTCCCACTTTACAATTCGTTACTATTCATTATTCCTCAAAAATGCAAGAGTGTCCTGTATTTTTTACATTGCTTGGCTTAACCTCTAGGTAAAGTAAATGTAGGTAACAGTACGACAAACACTATGATCCTCAAGATATTCTTTTGCCCTGTAGGATGGTCGATAAAATTGGCTAAAAATTGGGCTACAGAAAATTAAAGTTATCTAAAAGCGTCTCGTATGACTTCAAACCCTTGTTGCGTTTACTGCGCCAACCTCTGGGGCCTGTTGTTAGTACAACTCAAAATCTTAAACTTCGATAAAACGGCTTCGAAATGGCTCTAGAAGCAAAGAGAGTAAATAACAAAACAAAACCACGCGGTGAGGCTTGTCGAAAGTGAAACTGAATGTATTTGTACGGTGGTTGATTGATTAAGGTCGGTACACACTAGGCAACAAGTTGCAGCAACATGTTGCGGCGACACGTTGCAGCGACCAGTCGCTTCGTGTGTACAGGAGAATTTTTGTGAAAATCTTTGTCGCTGCAACAGAATTTGTCGCCGCAACAAGTCGCACAGATTCAGTCTGATTTGATTTTTTGCGACTTGTTGCAGCGACAAAATTATGTTGCGGAGACAAAGATTTTTGAGACAAAGATTTTCACAAAAATTCTCCAGTACACACGAAGCGATTTGTCGCTGCGACGTGTCGCCTCACCTTGTTGCTGCAATTAGTCGCCCGACCTGTGCACACGGAGTGATCTGTCGCTGCGACGTGTCGCAGCAACTTGTCGCCTAGTGTGTACCGACCTTTAGAAATCTAGACCGATTCTCGGAAAAAGTGAGATAACACTGGCCTCCTGAATGCAAGAACACATTTTCGTCTTATTAGGTAAGTTTACACTCTTATCTATTACAGTCTATCGGACTTTTAGTGCAAAATTTCTCATTGCAATCTCCAATGAAGTGCAAACTGTATAACGTTTTATCTCCACAAGTAATTTATGTTTTTCCGACGGTTGTATTACAGGATAATTTTCTTATTTTTGGTTCGAGTTCGTGGAGCACTAAGGTAGAGAAAAAAAGTAGTGTTTGCTAGGTGTTATGTAACCCTTAACCAGGCACTTTTTGACTGAACTTCACTCAACGTAAAAGACTAAAATGACACCGGTTTGAAACTTCACGGGGTCAGATTACGATTACTGAGTAAATGTTCTAAAATTTGCTTCATTTGAAATTTGGACTCGGTGAAATGCTTCTAGGAACCACTAACTTACTGCCCAGCATCAGATAAAGGCTTTTAATCGACCTTGGAATGATTTTTCGTTGTTTTAAATTACCAAGTAATAGAATGAGTGAGTTTTTTTGCTAACGCGGTTTTCGAAAATCCAGGTTCATTGAATTGAGTCTTGAATGTCAAAGAGGTCTACTTCAAACTTTCTCACATTACTTGCTGTAGCCTGAATTTCATCCGATTACTTCGAGTCGTTTAATATTACTCCCTCAGTAACGACGTTGTTGAGAGGAGAAAACGACTCGAAGCAATCGGATGAATTTCAGGCTATACTTGCTGTTTATTGCACAAACGTTTCGCCCTTCGGTCTCCTTCATTGTACAAATTTTACAAAGTTTGAAATCAATACCTGGATATGAGATAGCTACCTAAATACACACAAGGTGAAAATAGAGTTACTTAATATGTTGAATAAAAGCAAAACATACACAAGTTGTAAAATTAAAGATCAAAACGATAAAAAAGAATTAAGTAAATAGGTGGTATTACTATAATTATCCCTTTAAGACCGAATCGTACAAATTTGTACGATCATTTGTCATTTGACCAGCAGTTTCCTCAAACTTAGTTTCCAGACCCGCCTTCTTTGCAACGCCTAGTGGATTGTTTTGTTCGCCATTTTGAGTTGTTTTAAACCAGTCTCTGCGACATTTTCGATTTGTTAGAGCAAGAGTAAGCTTAATTTTAGTTCTGCAACATGTCTGAGCATAGGACACGTTATAATTTGAAAGATTTTTTGATTATTTTGGATGGAAACTTCGAGATACCCGATCGTGGCGTGTTTCGGATATCGAAGGCTTTGATATGAACACCGAAGAAGATAGCAAGGATGGGGTAATGAAATTTTTTCAAACCAGGGAGAAGAAGAAGAGGAAAAACTCAGTCTTCGGAACATACACATTGATGATTCAACAGTGATTAATATTTTTTTCATCCTGGAAGGCCACAAAACATTTGTTTGGATGTTTATGTTTAGCTCCTGGAAGAAAGCGATCGAGAAGTTCTCACTTTCAATTCATAAGGTTGGGCCTACGAAGGTGTAACCATAGGCGTACGGGCCGGGGGGTGCGAGGGGGGCTGCAGCGCCCCCAAATTTTGGGCAACTCAGCTTTTTTTGGGCAGCAAGAGAAAATTTGGGCAAAGCCTGTTTTTAAAGACGTCTTCATGTTTATTTAATTATTTTGAAGACCTGAATATTAACCTGAAATCGGCGTAATAATCCAGTTACATTCACACGAGACAGTAATCGCCTAACATGTGATGAGTAATTTACATATTTCTTTTTTTGTTATTGTTGGGCACCGTACTGCACTGCACTAGCTGGAATGGGCTATCCAGTCGTGAATTGATTAGAATAAACTTTCGCATAACTTTCTAGAATCATCTCCACTCGAACAACAGGGTGGGTCTGAAAACGGAGGAGTGGCTGACTAATTCTCAGTTTGAATTACGAGAAGCATCTTAATTCTTTTAAAAAATCTATCGCTAATTTGTTAAAGTAGACCGAAATGTTTACAAAACTGCTAACAAGAGCGCCGCGATACATACTAATCAAATCCTTCTTTCTAGCAATCGGGCAGAGCTATCTCCACGATCTTTCACACACGTTTTTAAAAAGATTAAAACTACTATGAGGTGAAATTGCATGTCAAAAGCGCTTCGTTTTCTACAGTTAACGGCCAA